TAGCGGCAGCATTCATATACCGAAGGAAGAGGGCTCGGCTTGTACGGACGGGGGGGACAAGTAAAGCGAGATGTGATCTAAAGAGTAGGGTTGTTCACCCTGGATGTTCTTGACCTGGGGGGGGGGAGACATAGCATGTTGTTGTGTCTCCCCCATGTCCTGCTACTCAGAAAAGTCCTTGGAGAATGTATGTTAAAATGATAAGACAAATGCATGGAACACCCAAGTAAACCATGACAACGAAGCACGCACAAAATCCGCCCCCCCCGGGTCCTTTGCCAGCTTAACATGGCACACGGTAGAGAGGAAGGGGCATCCAAGGTATTCCCCATATCTGTTTCAGGACACCGTTACTTGGGGGAGGTGAACTTAGCACGTCATCACTCTATCTAGTCCACCATGAACGAGTCCTATACGTAGCTAAGTGGCCCACATGGTATTGTGGTTAGAGGTGTGTAAATAGCATACACTTTGATCTAGTCTGAATGATTAATTTGATCAATAGCAAATGATTGGCTTTCAGCCAATTCTGCAGCTCTGATTTGAGAGGAACCAACCCATATCTGAGATGGTTAAGTTCCAAGCTTTCCCCTGCGGGTGCTGAAAAATGTGGATGATAGCAAACTCTACTAGAAGAGCATGTGCTATACATAACATAGTGTCTGCCTCCCTCTAGTGGCCATTTGTGGAAACTCATACAGGAATTAGAAATCTATATTTGGGGGATTTTCCTCTTGATATTTTCAGATTGTGAATCAGCGGATGCTGATCCAGCGGATAAGGGGGTCCTAGTGTATTGAAAATATTTGTATAGATTTGAAGAGTGACAAAAAATTGAAAATGAAGGGCTCTGACTAGAGGTATGAGGAGTGAAGGCCATGCTTTGTAGTTTCGTTAAAAATACATGGATTTTGAACTACTGTACACAGTGGCCCAGTGCCCTTAGTTCTGCCATTGTTGATGAGAGAAGTTTATCTCAGATGGATGGGAAATTTTAAGGTTATCTTCAGAGATGGAAATACTGCACATTGACAGTGCAAGATGATACATTATTGTGCTCAGTCATGCAATGTGGGTGACACATAGTGGTTTAGCACCGCCTTTCAAAGCATGCATATAGAGCCTGGTAAGGGGGATGATGTTGTTATATGCTGCCAAGTGGCCTCCAACTCATGACAACTCTTTGAATTAGCAGTCTCCAAAATGTCTTATCCTCAGCCACCCTGCTCAGCTCTTGCAAACGCAAACTTCTTTTCCTGCTGTCTTCCACCTTTCCCAGCATTATTGTCTTCTTTCAAGAATCCTCCCTTCTCACGATGTGCCCAAAGTAGGAAATACTCCAGTTTCAATACTTTTGCCTCCAGAGATGATTCAGGTTTGATTTGGTCTCGGACCCACTGGTTCATCTTCCTGGAAATCCAGGCTATCTGCAAAGCTCTCCTCCAGCACCACATGTCAAATGAATCATTTATTTCCCCTGCCAGCTTCCTTTATTGTCCAGCTTTCACACCCATACATGATGATCAGAAATACAAGAGTGAGGATGATCTTGGCCTTGGTCTCCAGTGACACATCCTTACACTCGATGCTCTTTTCTAATTCCTTCTTTGCTGCCCTTCCGAGACTCCGACGTCTTCTGATTTCTTAGCTGCGGTCCCCACTTGGATTGGCGATTGAACTGAGGTATACAAAATCTCTAAGAAATACACCACACGGACAACGCAAGGGGGATAGGAAAGGTTTAACAGTCCTTTGTCTCTCTGGAAGGCACATCGAAGCATAACCTGGTGTGCAATGACTGAGTCCTGAAGTCTGAAAGATGGAAATAAGCTCCCTCTGACTTTCTCCCTTGCTCGAAAATTTATCTCCCATCTCTTTGCTTTTGTTTTTTAAAAAATTCCAAGACATAAAACAAAACTTTGCTGTCTCATCAAAGCAGGATAAACAGCTGAGCATATTCCTAAGTGAGTTGCATGGGAGAAGACGCAGCTGTCTTCTCCTGCAACATGGCGAGACTTATGGGGGGGGAGAGGCTGTGGGTCTTGCTTTTCTTATGGGAATGGTTGTTTGTGAGTTGCAGGGAATCAAGGCGCTCACTTTTGCAAAGCGCTCTGCATCCCTTATAGGTGCTGGCCAGAAGGTCCTTGCCATCTCCGCCCGGCTTTGTTTCAGAAGATGAAGAGAGAGAGAAAGAGAGGAGGACAAAGAAATGAAAGCAAAGATCTAGGAGTTAACCCAGAGCCTGGTATGAATTTGTGCGTTTTACAGCTTCTGTTTAGTAAAAATGCAAAATGGTTGTTCTTGTGTACGAACCACACACAAACACACAGACAGACACAGTAACAGACAAAAGCATGGTGAAGTTTTAGACCTGTCACATAACATGTGGAGTCTTTATACCTGTCACATCAATGTCACCCTTCAGAAGGCATTTTCCCCCCAACTTTTCTATCTGCACATGAGAAATAGTGGCATTCCCTCGAGGAAATGGAGCATCGCTACTGGCAGTGCCATCGACCTGACACCTCCATGACGCCTGACTTCCTTTGGGGTTCTCACCTTCACAGCTGGAAATCTAAATCCCCTGCAAGAAGATGCTGGGAGATTCTTCCTCTTATCCTGGAAAGGCCTCTTTTTGAAGGCAGCACTGTACTGTACACTTTGGGTGAACCAAGGTATGTGGCAAAACGGGAGGCTTATCACACATAGTTACGGAACTGGGTTGACTTGGATGGGGTGCAATACAATTTTTTTGCAAGCACTGATCACAACCTAAGGACATGAAACTGAAGGGCCATATTTTAAAGAACATGGCAGGCGTTGAGACCATATGGTCCTCCAGATACCACTGGATTCCCCTTCCTCTCGGCCCCAGACTGATTCTAGATGACACTGAGGAATGATGGGAATGGTAATCTATCAGTATCTGGAGGCCATGGGTTCCCCAGATCTCAAAGACAGCTTCAGACCTGAAAGTAACCCTCATATAGCATGGTTGCTCATTTAAACCCTCAAATGAGCAAGGGTGCTGAAGCCTTGAACCAATAATTCAGTGTATCCTATCCTGCTTCAGTCATTTACAAATAATCATCAAATCGGTTAGAGCGAGTGGCTAGCCCCTTTCTTTCCCTTGCTGCATGGCTCATGCAAGCAGTAGTAAGCCTCAAGAGGTGAAGGATCCTGTTCACAGGAGCAAGAACCCAGATTTTACATACGTAGAGTCTTTTCAGACTTGGTGCTCTCTAATACCCAGGCTGGCTGACTGTTGCAGTCTTGCGTGCTAGTTTTAGGGCTGGGGAGAACTTCTTCCTGTTTGTCCCAGACCCCAATTTTCCTAAAACAAATCAGGAATGCTAACCTTTCTGCCTTGAAAACAAAGAGAGCGAAACACATTTCGAGTTGGCTTCAGATCAGTTCGCAAGGCCACGTTGTTAATGACATGGATTTGTCACGGGGCCAGCGGTAGGCGCTTCCCGTTTGCTGGGAACTCTTTCTTCTTGACCCGAAAGTCCATATTTTTTTGGAATAATTCCTTCGCTTCAGAAAGATTTCAGTAGCGGGAGAGGTTGAAATGAGGGCTATGCTCATCAAATAATAGGTCCACCCAGCAAGATTTCCCTTTCCCTCACCCCTAAGCCATGCCGGCTTATCTAGTCCCCTTCTGAACATTTCCAACGATAGCACCCAACAATCTCCCACCAACAAATTATTCCCCTGTCTAAATTGTGATGGCGTTGGATGGAGAGTGCTGAGGTTGAACCTAAATTACTTATTATTCCTTTCCCCATATATTATGCACATTTATCAGTCATCCTTCCAGTTGCCTTTTCCATAAGCCCCGTGTATTAAGTTTCCTTAATCTCCCTCTGCAGGTCGTGGCCTCCAGTCCTTTAATCATCTTTGTTGCCCTCCATTGGATTTCTCTTTAATTTATCAATGTCTATTTTTTTTTTAAATGAAAGACACACAGAAAGAAGAGAGGAACAGAATGTACAGTGTGTACTCCGACCGTGCTGGCTTCTCGGCGAGGGAGAAGGGAAAGCAAACAGAAGCATGAAAGTCAAAGGCAGGAAGCAGAATAAAGCAAGAATGTATGAGGACTGCAGGGAAATACATATAAATGAAGGCACTGCAAATTCATATGAAACATAGGAAAGAGGGGGGGGGAATAATGGCATGCATCTTGAGATCAAGGCTGCTTCTAACAAAGCTTTTCTTTCTCTGGCACCAAGGGTCAGCTCTTGTAGGCAAACTAAGTGTCTCCACTAGAGATGGACATGAACTTCCTGTTTGTGTTAGTTCGCTCTTTGTGCAAACAGGTGTTCAGCACTTCCCAGCCTGCCTCCTCTGGCAGGCGTTCACTCAGAGGCCCTGCCAGAGGAGGCAGGGCAGGGAAGCTGCAATGCTGCCTCTGAGTGGGAACCAGCCAGAGGAGGCGCCCTAGGAAGGGACAAACATCCATTTAGCTGATAAATGAACTGACATGAACCGCCGAACCTGCCATCCATGCCCATCTCTAGTCTCTGCTTATCTTCTAAAGCAGTGGTTCTCAAACCTGGACCTCCAGATATTCTTGGACTTCGACTCCCAGAAATCCTGGCCAGCAGAGGTGGTGGCGAAGGCTTCTGGGAGTTGTAGTCCAAGAACATCTGGAGGCCCAAGGTTGGGGACTACTGTTCTAAAGCACCTTTTTGACTAAGGAACAGAAGGAAGCTCCTCACTATCCCTGTGAAATGGGACCATCCAGAAAGGCCATTGAAGGGGTCATATATTCAGCATACACAAACTAAGGATTCATCTCTATGGGAACCTTTATGTAAAGAGACATGGTAAGTATAATGTTGTCCAGATCAGCCTCCCACCCCAAACCCAGCTTCCCCGGTCAGACGGTTCCTTGGACCTTGTGTGTCTAATATTCCACCACCCTGGACCACCATGGTATTCACCAGGCCTCCCTTGGGTCCATCCACTCCCATGTTTCCCCCAGGGAGCCATCTTACCCTGTAGTAATCCGTGCTGTAGACGTCTCTGGACATCCCAAAGTCACCGATCTTCACCAGCAGGTTTGCGCCAACCAAGCAATTCCTGGTGGCCAGGTCTCTGTGTACAAAGTGCTGGGAGGCGAGGTAAACCATTCCTGATGCAATCTGGCTTGCAATATGAAGCATCTGAGAAAGCCCCAGCTCCCCTTTGGTTTGCCGGGGCTGCCCGTCCACAAGAATCATTGCATCGGGACCATGCGCCCTGTAGGAAGCAAGAAATGAACCAATTATATTGCTAATAGAACCGCTCTCCTTAGGGCACAAGAAAGTCCTGGAACTGCATGTTTGTTTGACTGTTTCCCCTCTCCGTTGTCTGTTGGAAGCCATAAGTCTGTTGAGGCCCACTGCTGAAAAACAGACATGTTTTTATCTGCTTGCTGTTATCTGTTCACTGTAAGTAGATGCAAGCTTTTTATTCTTTCTCTTACTAATGTCTCAAAGTGAGTTCTTGAGACCGCTAGTGCCAGTTGATGAACTCATCTGAAGAACTTGAAGCAGACTTTGCTCAGTGAATCCCTGAACTTCTGTACAATTAGAGGAACTGAATCAAAATTCAGGACTCTGAAAACATGACTTCCCTTTGGTCCTTTCTGAATATGGGACCTCCACCATGTGTCTACACAACCTTCTTCATGTTGCAAAGCAGACATACTTCTGATGTTAGATTCATCCTCTCTCTTTTTTGGCCCTCCACATAATATTTAGCATGACTGAACCAGGAATGTCAATAAGCATCTTTGCAGAGGGTAGAAGAAGAGCAGTACTGCTGTGACCTTCGGTCTTGTTTTCTCCGATGCAGTAGACATGGGTCGCTTCACCTCCCCCTCCAAATTCTCTTTGAAATAATTCCTAGCATTTCGCCCTCGTCAGCAGCGGAGGCTTCAGCAACCCTGCAGAGAGCTAGCAAATTGAAAGACGGATGCGTTGTCTCCAGCATGGAGCTAACCTGCTAAAACAGCAAGATCCAACTTGCTTGTATATCTGCACCCTGGATTTCCTCTTCCTAATAGCTTTGAGGTGTATGAAGAGGAGGAGGGGGAGAGAGATAGGTTGAGATATTGGCAAATATGTCTGGTTCAGCCAGACAGATATTTTGGGTTCAGTTGCTGTGGATTTTATTTGGGGTGGGGGTTTTTGGCTTATTTCCAATTTTCTTAAAACACACTGGCCTAAGCCCAAATAGCTACAATTTATTTATTCCATTGTTCGGCACGTATACATTCCATCTTAAGACAATTTGCTCTGTTCTTCCATTGTTTTCTATGGAGAGGACCTGCACCCTTCAGTGGGAACATGAGAAGCCAGTTGCGATTTCCAGATCCACAGAAACAAGACCTCTGATCCTCGTCGGGCTTGCTATTTCAGAAGACAAGCCACAAAACCTCCTTGGTGTAGTCATTACAGGCAGCAAAAAATAACTCCCCAGCAAGGAGAAGATCCTCATCATAATCATCACCCAATCTTCTCCAAGACTGAGGTTTCAAATTGCCCACTAAGTCTTCCCCACATAGCGGCTGGCTTGAAGGTAATATTCTGGATTACAGCATTAAGCTTTGTTCGTTTACTTTAACTTTGAGTGCAATCACAGATAGTCGGTGAGTTTTCCTGTCCCTTCCTCTATTCTAACAGATGATTACACGGCTCTAAAATGAATACCGTGCCTCCCCGAAAATAAGACAGGGTCTTATATTACTTTTTGCTCCAAAAAACACATTAGGGCTTATTTTCAGGGGATTTTTTTAAAAAACCACCTACATTGATTCAAATATAGTCATATCCTCTTCTTCTGGTTGCTACATGCTTATTTTCAGGGGATTTTTTTAAAAAAAACACATCTACATTGATTCAAATCCAGTCATATCCTCTTCTTCTGGTTGCTACACAAGGGTGGAGGGAGGGGTTTCACTTAATTGGGGCTTATTTTGGGGGTAGGGTTTATATTATGAGACCTCCTGGCAAAATCTTACTAGGGCTTATTTTCAGGTTAGGTCTTATTTTCAGGGAAACAGGGCATGTACAAAAAAAATGGTAGCAGTACAGGATATCACCTGCTTCTTTAGCTCCCTTCTGTGTCAGATTACATGCTGAAACATCTTTCTGACAGGCTGTTTTTTTTTTTTTTTAATTGAACCAGCATTTCCACAGGGAGTTTTTGTCACCCTGGACACAGCAATTTACACTGGGCTTTTTGATAATCCCTGACAGAGCCACCATCAGGTCTGACATGCCTCAGGGAGAGAGAAGCTCAAGGGGCTGGCAAGAGAATAGCTAAAACTGAATGACATGGTCCCGTGATGGGAAGCCAACCCTGTCACACACCATTCTTCGTCCAGCCAACAGTGTAAATAGAAGTGACGGCTGTTGCTACGTTAGTCCACTCCATTGTTGAGGCCTTTTCTCAGAGAGATTAGCATATGTCTAAAAGCAAAACGATGGCTTGAAACAAGAGTGGCCAAGATCCAAATGGTTACTTGCACTGTTGAAAAGTGAATCTAGGAGGCAGCCAATCCTACCCCTCTCCAAAGCTCCAAAAATTAGATTCGATTCCGTAATGCTAAAATCAGTGGTTTTGCATGAACTGAATGATACATCTGCTAATGTCCTACAGCCAAAATCCTTGTGTACAGGATTTGGGACCACAATTGCCTCAAGCTGAGAAATTGCTTTGGACCCTGTGTGTTGACTTTGCGGTGTCACACAGCTTGGTAAGCGACAGCTAATTTTATAGTAACTTGAGACAGATAAAAACAGCCTGCTTAAAACTCATTAACCCCCACGTGTTAATCAGTTTTTAACCCCAGTCATACAGAAGCAGTGCTGTTCATTGGTGTGAGTTGTGCACTTTTGTGAAAATATGGGCAGAACTCATCCTCGCAAATGTGAAGGCCATTCTTGAGCTTGACAGAAAATATCTCATCAACTCACAGGCGAGGAGAAATATCAAATGGGCTCTCGTTCTTGTCCAGATGCACAAAATAAGGAGAAGGCATCTCTAACAATCTCTCCCCCACCTCTCTCTCTCTCTCTCTCTCTCACACACACACACACACACACACACAAACCTGATTTTGTATTGCTAAACATTCTCCTTCTTACTCCAAAAAAGGAAAAAGGTCTTTTCTCTTTCTTTTGAATGCAAAATGCAGGGGCTATGAAGCTTGATCCTTACCAGGATCCTCGTTTGTTGGCAAAGGACCTTAAAATCCTTGACACCCCCCTCCTCATCCATGGGTCTGATCCAGAAGGGTCCCCCAGCCCTTGAAATAGCCACTGAAGGTTAAGAGGGAGCTCCCAGTGGAGCAAAGAGTCTTTGACCTTGGCTGGGTGTGGGGAATATGTCAATATTTTTCTCCCCTGTTAAATCTAGTGGAACAAAGCCTCTGGCTTTTTGGAAGCATTTCAGAATGTCTTGGAAAACACATTTCATCTTTCAGTCGCTCAGATCCAAAAAGGGATTAGAGGCTGGGCAATGGAGACCAAAGAGAATCTATGAGGAGGGTGGACTCCTCAAATTGTCTCCAATAGGACCTCAGCATGAAGCATGTATTCCAAATTTGTTCGTTTCCAATGTGCCAGGTTGCTAATAAGATGGAAGAGGACTACCTGGAGGCTTCCCAAAATACCTTATATTTTAGATGCTAGCTCAAACAAATGAAGCCCAGGGAAAGGGCTTTATGAATTTTTCCGGTGGCTTGTCAGCTTCTATAGTTGGCTAGGGAATGAAAAAAACATTCACTGATTTAAGTGACAGGAAAATGTTATACTTCCCATCATCCGTAATGGCCATCTGTTCTTTCTTTCTTTCTTTCTTTCTTTCTTTCTTTCTTTGCAAAAGGTACCTCCAAAAAGCCTCCCTGTTTCGTTAGGGCCATTCTTGACCAGTGGTCTCCCAGGGTTGGTTTTGGCTTGAAGATCCATTTGATTTTGATTCCTGACTAGAGATGGGCATGAACCTCGGTTCGGAAGTTCATACCTCTCCCCCACCCAGCTGGCTCCCCCATTCACCAGCCGGCACATGCTGCTTGTCTTCCTCCACCTCATGCAATTGCCCAGTTGCAGCAGCAGCGTCTGCTTCCCTCCTCTGCCTCCTCCAGCAGCTGCCCATTCAATGGCAGTGCTGCAGGAATCCCTGCTCTGCCTCCTCATCTGAGTGGGTGGCTGCTGGAGGAGGCAGAGAAAGGAAGCAGGCGCTGCTGCTGGGACTGGATGAACATGCAAAGAGGAGAAGGGCAGTGGAGAATCCACCCGAGGGTGGGGGAACACATGGCATGAAGCAGCACGAACCTCCGAACTGTGGTTTGTGCCCATCTCTATTCCTGATTTTTCCCCTCAGATTTGCTTCTCTGGAACAATTCATAGTTTCCCCTTCGTGGGCATCTTCTAACAGTTGCCTCTAACAAACTCTTGATGGGGCCACAAGTCTTGTGCTGTGGTCCAGGAGAACACAGAAGTCCATGTTTATATCAGATGGTCCCCACAGTGAAGATTTTGCCCTCCTGATTGATGCCTTTTGCCTTTCCAGTTGGGAGAGCTGGTGGCACATGAGGAAATCCCCTCCATTCTTTCTAATCTCTGGCCCACAGCAATGGGGAGTTTGTTGTGACCTACATTCTCCCCAAGAGGAGATGGCACAGAATAAGCAGGTTCTCTGAGAGCTTGTTGCAGAAACATTGGCAGATTGAGGATTTACCTCAGAAACTTGTTCAGACCTCCATTCTTTCTAATCTCTGGCCCACAGGAATGGGGAGCTTGCTGTGACCTACATTCTCCCCAAAAGGGGATGGCACCGAATAACCAGGTTCTCTGAAAGCGAGTTGCAGAAACATTGGCAGAGGATTTACCTCAGAAACTTGTTCAGGTCCCCATGCTTCATGTATTCAAAGACCATGATGAGGGGGTCTCCATCACCACAGACACCATAGAACTTCACAATGTGGTCGTGTTGCAGGTTGGTGAGAAGTTCTGCCTCCCTCTGGAAATCCTTTCGGGCCGCTAACGTTGGGTCTTTTAGAGCCTGAGAGAAAGACACAGAGACAAGGTCAAGAGGTCAACAGAAGTCCACTTTCAGTTTCAAGCTGAAGCCTTATTGAACAACGGTGGAAATTAAAACCCTCAGTGACCACCACTAAGGAGGAATGGAAAGAAAACCTGCTAAATCCCTTTGATCTTGTTTACTTAGGTTGTTTTGACAGGAGGAAACTGACTTGATAAAGAAGTTTAAAGCCCTGCATCAAGAAATGTTAAAGCACCACCTCCGGCCAAGAGTGAAAGAAAGAGTTATTGTCCTCCCCTGCTCATCCTTTCTGCCATTGGCATCGAAGGGCTCTTGTGTCCCTTGAAAAGTCAAGGACAGGCATGAACACAAAGAGGGACAAGGTGATGGCTAAGCAAGATACAAAGGACCCCTGTAGTGCTTCCGCTTCTTCAACAAATCAGCAGCCAGGCTAATTTTAGTACAAGTCACATTGTTCATGCAACTGCTCAAATTTTGCGAATTGTGCTATTTTGTTCAAAAATGTTGTGATGGCAAAAATTTATTCTTATCAACACAAGAAGTCTGTTAAGGAAATTCCTTGTCAGGAAGGCAATGCATGCTGAAAGTCGTCATTCTTCACTCTGCCATGGGATGAAACTCACTTTACCATGTTCCTGGAAGCAGGAAGATCTATATTCCAAATAGGTGGTCTCTCATTCACACCCTGATTTTCACCTGCATTTTGCCCACCGTCCATTTTGTGAATGCAGATAACCATCTAGGAAGATGTGACTTAGCACTGCGAAGATAATCCTTTGGCTGCCAGGTACCAGCATCCTACACTGAAGACAGGGGATGCCGTCTGATTTTGGAACCAAGCAGTATTGGTTCCAGTTAAGATTTAGATGGGAGACCAGCAGAGAACACCAGGGATCTCCAGCTAAGGCCAGCAAAGAAACAGACCCCAAACTCTAGAGAACTTCTACCAGAGTTGACAAAATTGGTCTAGAAAGGTAAAAAAAATCTAACTTGGGCCAAAACATGTTCCTATGATTTACCAGAATTTCCGAGTTCTGAAATTTTGTTTACTGTTTCCTCTTCCTTTGCATGGTATTAAGATCTGGCTGGATAGCTCAGTGGTTTAGATATCTGGCTGGGGAGCCAGAGGTTAGGAGTTCAATTCCCCACTGGGGAAGAGCCAACCTGTGTAGCCCTAGGCAAGCTGCACAGTCCCAGGATTTCTCCTAGAAGAAGGGAAGGGTCAACCACTTCTGAGTATTCTCTACCTGGAAAACTCTGACATGGGTTGTCATCAGTTGGAATCAACTTGATGGCACACAATTATTATTATTAACATGGGGTTACAATGGATGAGCTCATAAAAACCTCTTCCCTCTTACAAGTTTTAATAAGAGATGTCAAATAATGGCATGGATTCATAATGGGAGTCACCTAAGAAGATCTCGATGGAGGAGGGTGTCCAAGAGAGACGTGCAAATGGAAAAAGGGCAGCGCCGTCCATTCAGCATGACAGACGTACATGACATCAGCAGAACTGCTAATCGTAAACTCAATTCCATTGGCACCAGCTCACCTCCGAGCACAGTGAAATTTCTCCATCTCAGAATGCCTTCAAAGCAGCTTTCAGAGGGTAATAGATGCCTCTTGTTTTTAACCTAGCTAGACTCCAAGCCAGATGAACTCAAGGTCAAAATCCTCCATATCTCACTATGATGACTCCCCTGAACTAGTCTGGCTTTTAGTATGATTATTATGGTTTTATTGTGGGAGACCTAATTCGGCCCCCTTGATTCTGAAGACAGATGTGTGTTGTGAAACTCTTTGGGTGTGTGTCAACCCTTTAAAAAGAATGGGAATAAGAATGGAGAAATGGAGAAAGCTGGCCAATCCCCCCTTTATCATTCCCCAAAAGCATACTTTCATCCCCTGAGGGTTATAATAGATTCCTGTTTGATGAAGACTCCATTTTGTGTCCCTGTGGAAGTGGCTTCACAGTCACACATGACCGGCAAAATTTTCTCAGTGGCTGGCCTCAAAATGTTTCCGTGAAGGACCTTTTAGGAGGAAAGGGGAGGAGGAGAAGTATTACGGCTGAAAATAATCTGCTTTTGGTCTATTTCCTTTTTTTAAAAAAAAAGACACCTAGAACAACAGATGAAATGAATCTGCTCCTGTGAATTCAGTTTTGTCGATTTTTAATGTCACATAACCAGGAAACATTTCACACCTCGAGTTGAGGCTAAATCTCATGCCTTAATGGATATCTAACATTCTGTGAACAGATAATGGATGGCAAACCACTCATAAATCCAAATCGTAGAGTGTATACACACTTTAAATAAATAGTAGCTGAATAATAAATACATAGTTTGGATGGGCTTTAAATAAGCTCAGTTGGTTTCTGCTTCAAAGGTTCCTTGGTGGTAATTCAACAAACAGAAGTCAAAATAACAAAAATATATTTAGTCACCATTATTAGACTATGCTGGCAAAGAATGGGGAAAAATCACTGCCTGGCCCAAAGGGGGATTATATGAACATCCATGTTGAAGGGAACTCCAAGAACCACTCAAGAATTTAAAAAGAAATGCTTCGGACTGAGTCCACCTTGTAGGACACGTCTTTGGAAATCTGGGTGTTCAGAAAGGAAATCCCAGGATACACAACAATGGGCTCAAGTTATAGGAAGCCAGATTTTGGTTGAATATCAGGAAAAACTTCCTAACTGTCAGAGCAGTACAGCAATGGAACCAATGACTTTGGGGGTTGGTGAGTGCTCCAGCTCTAAGAGAAACTTAGCGAACCATATGCCAAGATACCTTTTAATTTGTATACCCGAGAAACTTAGAGAACCATATGTCAAGATACCTTTTAATTTGTATACCTGCATCGGGCAGGGGGTTGGAACTTGATGGCCTTATAGGCCCCTCCCAGCTTCATGATTCCATGATTCTATGAAGTGCGATACAAAGGACCTAACATCAGATAACCAAAAAACTTTAAACTCTCAAACTTTAGGCTTTCTGTTATCCTTTTACTCCATACCCATTCGAGGCACCACATAATTTCATTTTAATTCTCTTTCCTCAGGGGATAACCTGACCAGAGATATTTAGATGGATGACAATACAGTGAACAGATGGCGAAGCATCCATCCTAATCTCATGCTCTCAATTGCTTCTCACAGTTTAATATCTTCATGATGTTGCTGTTATGCCTTGAGAGGAATAGAGTTTTCCTACCTCTCTTATTTACTTTAGCCCCCCACCTCAACACACAACTCACATATTTTCCCCTGCTAAGGCCAGACTTAAATTATGTCCCTTTTCCTTGTTATTTTGTGCTTTGAAAAAAAAAAAACTTTTGTGACTTGCAAAGCCATCTCTCTCCAGTGACGGTGGTTGAACTATTGCATTTCCTACCCTGTGATTTTCACTTCTTGGTTTCCAAATTTACTATGCCATTAACCTACATCCATAATACCCTACCCTAGAGACGGTGGTGGTTGAACTATTGCATTTCCTACCCTGTGATTTTCACTTCTTGGTTTCCAAATTTACTATGCCATTAACCTACATCCATAATACCCTAGAGAAGACCTTCCTTATGTCCAACTATGACGGAGGTAGCGCTGAAAAAGAACCTTGTTCAGCTCTTCCATTTTGCATTGAGCATCCTTGGGATTTTACCTTCACAGCCACCAGCATCTTGTCCTCGGTGGGGCTGAGGTTGTAGCACTCAGCAAGGAACACCTTTCCAAAAGCACCTTCGCCAAGTTCTCTCTTCAGGATGATGTCTCTTCGCTTAATGTGCTGTACATCTGCAGAAGCCAAGAGATGAGAGGAAGGGAGACCATGAATCAATGTTAAGGCAAAGACCTTTCCTTTCCCCCCAAATAGTGGAATTCCATGGAAGGGAGACCATGAATCAATGTTAAGGCACAGACCAGGGAATAGATCATTCCTTCCCCCCCCCCAATAGTGGAATTCCATTCATTTCCATTTCCAAAAGGTGTCCTCTGTGTGCATGCACACATGCAGATTCTTGGCTGCTCATTCCTAACTTTCCATCTTTGAAATGGAGACCGGGCTTTGCCAGCTACCTGACAAATGTTTTGTGCTAAGGAGAGACAACCCACCTTGTTAAGATGTCCGGTCTGCCTTCCAGTGCTTTTGAGATTTGCAAAGCCATCTCTCGCCAGTGGTGGTGGTTGAACTATTGAATTTCCTACTCTGTGATTGTCACTTCTTGGTGTCCAAATGTACTATTCCATTGGCCTACATTCAAAATAATGTTTGAGGAGGAAAACAGTGTGGACACAGAGTTCTCCTGTTGTTGAGCTGCTGGTAAAAGACCTTGTTTGATAACACCAGCCTAGAATATGAATGGGTTCACCATGAGAGATTTGCTTCCATGTTGAAATAAAGCTCCATTCTTACTCCAGAGGAGGTCTCACTTAGCTTAGCAACAAGGCAAGCAGAAGACATTCAGGGGCATCAAGATTTTAGAGGGTCTTCTATTCATATTAGAAAGGGGATTTTTTTGTTTTTGTTTTTGCATCTCCTGTACTCTCCCACCACCACTTGGGCAGAATCCAGAGTATAAGATTATGGGAAGGAAGCCTCCAAAGGTTCCTTCAATAGGATTTCTCTGCAGCTTGTCACGACTAGAACCAAAAGAAGATGAAAATGGGGTGAAGTAGGACACAAAGATACGGGGAAGGTGTTGAAAATAAACCTTGCTTTTCTCAAATTTATATAAATGGTGTTTCATTGGGTGGGGGGGGGTTACATTTGGACCCAGGTTTGGAAACATAAAACCTCTTTGTTTTTCTTTTCAAAATTCAGGGGGTGGTGAAGAAAGAGCTCAGTCTGCCAAGCCCAATTCTAAAATGACCTAAGGGCCTCTTATTGCCGAAGCACATGATAAACCACATCTGGCCTGCCATTATTAATGGTACAAAACATCTGGAATGGAATTAACTTGACATGGAATCAATTTAGGCCACAAATAGGTGCCAGCTAACTCAAGGGAGCAATCCCACAGAGTCCAGTAACACACACAGACACACACATATGACCTGCACAACTTTCTGGATGTCTGCTTTGTGTTCAGTAAGGGTGGCTTCGAGATACGTGTTTACAGGACTGCCTCATTAGCTGATCAAGAACGCAACCCTATGCATGTCCACTCTGAAGTAAATCACACTGAAATCAATGGGGCTTTTACCGCCAGGTAAGTGAGTATAGGATTGCAGCCTCCTTGGAGGAGGGCTGGTTGATAAACCAATCCAATCAACCTGAATAAATATGCATATCAAGACATAATAGAAAACATATTTCTGGTGTTTAGGTGATAACTGCCTCTTTCACAGCTGGGACCATAGTAGAAAACTAGGATTCTTATTCAAAGTTAAACTATTGATACTTTTAGCTTAGTATCACCTACAGAGGTTGGGAAGAACTCTCCAGAGAGGCCTTTCTCTGCCTACCAGAAGAACCTAGAAAATGGAAGTAAGATTTTCTTCATATAATTCAGAGGAGGGTAAAGTGCGACTATCCAGATGTTGCTGGACTACAACTCTCAGAATTCTTCACTGTAGGGCTGATGGAAGTTGCATTTAGCAGCATCTGCAAGGCTGGAAAAGTCCACTAATGCTAGCGTAATTATGCTGTTCTATCTGGCTTTCCCTTAATTTTTGCAGAAGGAACTTAGGTAGATCCCCAATCTAAAAGAGCTTGAAATTTAGCCAAGAGTAGAGATGGGCACAAACCAGGTAAAGGAGGGATCATGGTTTGTCTCTATTCACGAACCATGAGTTTTCAGGAACTTTCTGATGAAATGAACCGTTTTGTGATTTGTGTGATTTAGGATTTCTGGGAGCAGCAGAATGTATGAGATAGAGATGGAAACTCACAATGAGTCTCCAGCTGGCTCTTTTCCCCACTTCTGTGAAGATTGGATTTGGGAAGTCCAAGTTATGCCCCCCCAAAACAGGATTTGGGAAGTCCAAGTTATGCCCCCCCCAAAACAGCCCCCCCCCCAGGAAAGTGCTCTTTAGCAGTTCATAGAATCATAGAAAAGTGAAGTTGGAAGGGTTCTACAAGGCCATCAAGTCCAACCCCCTGCTCAGTGCAGGAATATAATCAAAACATATCCGACAGGTCATGAAGGAATATAATCAAAGCATATCCGCCAGGTCGTGGTCTAAGTTTGGCTTGGGGGTAATTAAATGAGTGGTTCATGTGAGGGAACTTTAGACAGTGTGTTGCTCATCATGGGGTGAGCTAAGGAGGGAACAGAAATGGGGAGAGGATGAATTTTCATGTGAGGGAACTTTAGACAGTGTGTTTCTCATCATGAGGTGAGCTAGGGAGGGAACAGAAAGGGGGAGAGGATGAATTGTCAGAGGAAGCTTCTTTGCTGTGTCTAGGTGTCTGGGGGACTATTTTATAGCCAAACAAATTGATGAATCAAAAATCACTAAAAATTCATTGATTTGTATTCATTGGGGCGTTGATTCTTACGAATACAAATTGACAAATTAGTGATTTTTTAAAAAATGAATTTGGTGATTTGGTTTTTAATTCATGCCCATCTCTAATATGAATCACTAACACTGGGAATAGTTCAGGGTTTTGTTTCATTTTATGCCAGCACATTTCCCTGAAGCACCTCACAATGAAACATGAAACTGCTGAATTCGTTGGAATTTTTTTGCTTCGGGGATTGTTTCATGCCCATCTCTTGGGGCACCCTTCAGGCCCCAACAATGATTTCAATGTCCTCTACAATCCTTGGATGCTGTGTGAACCGTACAGAACATATTTGAGTAAGTGGATTGTATTCCATGCAAGTTTGTGCTAAAATTGTCCTGTTCCTCTAAAAAGGCCATGAGACTCTTTTTGTTTGCCTGGACCAAATTAATATTTGCTATCCCTTTGAAAAAATTAAAATACAGGATGAATGAAGATTGTTAGTAAGATGCTATGCACATTTCAAGTCTCACTGTATTAGGGGGGGGTTGTTCTCAGGTTAAGTGGCTATTCCCCCCTCCAACCCAAAGAGTAATTTATTCTCAGAGCTCAGTTTTCTACAACAGGTTGACTTGGTAGCTTATGAAACATGATGTCCACATTCAGAGCATCAAAAATGGCAGAGGCAGAACATGAAAAAGGTCAGCTGGCTATCGAAGCCTAGAATAGCAACTCTTTTTTTTAAAGCAGCAATTCAATCAAAAGCCACTCTTGGTCTTTTGAAGAAAGAAAAGAAGAGGCGGGCACATCTTAACTCATGAAACAGTCAAAGGTTTAGAAACAGAGAACACCATAATGGCTCTCAAACAATTAAGTTTGCTAATTATAAGATGACACGCTGGCATATATGCTACCAAGTCTACATATATTTTCTTGTTTCGAAACAGTGATGTTCTTGTTTGTATAAACAACTGTTCTCATGATGAGTGGTCCTCCTTTGGAGAATTCTCACTGACCTTTTTACCCATTGTTCAACAGGCAAAATTTAACAAAAAAAAAAGTCCTTGATATTAATTTTATCAGCTTTATAAACACAGTAGATTATAACCCTACACAAAATTTAGCAAGGGAGCCATGCATTTCACTGATCAGGGGCGATGCCTATGTATTTCTAGAAGTCCATGTTTTGCTGATAGCTGCACTGCACTGTAGGTTTTGTAGTTTCAATGTCATCGCATAACTCCATTTTTAAAACCAGGAATGACAAATGCAGATTCCATCAGTCTCCTCTTTTCTCTTTTTGTGAAACACAGACTTCTGTTAGAAAACAAGTCTAAGGAAGTACTTGGACTGGTTTTGCTTTAAACGACATAGGAGTGATCGAAGAATTGATTCTTTCCCTATTTTTAAACAAGACAAGAAAAGCCTTCCAGAAAAAGAAAGCGCATATATACACAAATAATATCAGGGATATACTTCTTTCACCCTTTCAACAACATAGGATTCTTGTATACTCATGGGGGACGGCCTGACGTTCAAACATGTGGTTGCAAAATCTGGAATCCGTACTGCTGATATACTGGAGCAGCAATTTACTTGTTCATGAGAACTTGAAACATTCAGGACTAGAAAGGGACTGTTTTATCAAAGCTTTGCTTTCTGTGCTTCTAAATCACAAAGTAGGAGAGGAAGATATAGGACGTCATTGACCACTTATGGCATTCATGGAATGGTGCCAGAACAACAGCCATTGTTTCTTGTTCTAAAATGTGAGGTATTCTCCATCTAGTTATCTGACTGCTAGGCTATGGTCAGCCTTTCTAATGAGGGATTTATGGGTTATCATCCTTTTTCATGCCCTTTGCCCTTCCAAGCCCCTCCACATGTCGTGAAATGACTCCGATAAATGCCAGCAAGAGAAGGAACAGTTCCGGAGAATGTACTGCAAGCACGAGAGGCAGGTAGGGTGGAAATACTGTCAGATGGATTTCAAAGGTAGCCCTGTGCATCAAATTTAGTGTTGGTCCATCTCTGTTTGAAATGAAATGTGCTGAGATTTTCTGAAAAAATAGAGTCTTGTTCCAAGAGGAAAAGATTCTAGAAGTCTGGTCTAATCCAAAACACATATTTGAGATGGGATCCTGCCTGGGTAAAACTGAAACGGCTGCTAATTCTTCGCTGATGGCTAGGAAGGAGTCCCCCTCTTTCCTGGTGTATCCTAGGCAGTATTACACAACAAGTAAATGCCCCAAACTGGTTGCAACGGTGACTGATGGGACTCCAGTTTTGCAGAGTTTCACCCACTTTTTCTAGGAACTGACCAAGGTGCTGAATATTGTGCCTC